AAGCCTCTACAAACACAGCTCGAGTATGCGGGAACGAGGACTTTTTCTATACAAAGTGATCAATGAGAAGTAAACCACCCAATCTTTCTCCCTGAAAATCAGAGTTAAGTTTGGAGCATGGCCACAGCCCCAGAAACACAAGGACTTAATGCAGAAACCAGCAGCTTAGAGCAGAAAAGTGAACGGACGATGCGTTAACCCAGGCCATCATTTCTGCCCAGAGGGGAAAAGGGTGTTGCCCCATTCGCCCTCTCTTCTCTGGAAAGAAGGATGGCGGCCGCATGGGAGCCTTGTGGACAGCAGGTATGGGCCGGGGGTGTGGGGGCGACTAAAACCTCATGGGAAGGGGGGCGTTCCGGTCTGTCCTTCACGCCCTACCGAGGTCACCAGTTGCCCCCCACGAGCGGCTCTCCAGCACGGCCACAGCCCCAGAAGCACAAGGGCTTAATGCAGAACCCAGCAGCTTGGAGCAGAAAAGTGAAAGGACTATGCGTTAATCCAGGCAATCATTTCTGCCCAGAGGGGAAAGGGTGTTGCTCCCTTCCGCCCTCCTCCCTCTGGAAAGAAAGATGGCGGCCACATGGGAGCCTTGTGGACAGCAGGTATGAGCCGGGGGTGTGGGGGCGACTAAAACCTCATGGGAAGGGGGGCGTTCTGGTCCGTCCTTCACGCCCTACCGAGGTCAACAGTTGCCCCCCACGAGCGGCTCCCCAGCACGGCCACAGTCCCAGAAGCACAAGGACTTAATGCAGAACCCAGCAGCTTGGAGCAGAAAAGTGAAAGGACTATGCGTTAATCCAGGCCATCAAGTCTGCCGGAGGGGAAAGGGTGTTGCCCCATTCGCCCTCTCTTCTCTGGAAAGAAGGATGGTGGCCGCATGGGAGCCTTGTGGACAGCAGGTATGAGCCGGGGGTGTGGGGGCGACTAAAACCTCATGGGAAGGGGGGCGTTCCAGTCCGTCCTTCACGCCCTACCGAGGTCACCAGTCACCCCTCACGAGCGGCTCTCCAGCACGGCCACGGCCCCAGAAGCACAAGGACTTAATGCAGAACCCAGCAGCTTGGAGCAGAAAAGTGAACGGACTATGCGTTGATCCAGCCCATCAAGTCTGCTGGAGGGGAAAGGGTGTTGCCCCATTCGCCCTCTCCTCTCTGGAAAGAAAGATGGCGGCCACATGGGAGCCTTGTGGACAGCAGGTATGAGCCGGGAGTGTGGGGGCGACTAAAACCTCATGGGAAGGGGGGCGTTCCGGTCCGTCCTTCACGCCCTACCGAGGTCACCAGTTGCCCCCCACGAACGGCTCTCCAGCACGGCCACAGCCCCAGAAGCACAAGGGCTTAATGCAGAACCCAGCAGCTTGGAGCAGAAAAGTGAAAGGACTATGCGTTAATCCAGGCAATCATTTCTGCCCAGAGGGGAAAGGGTGTTGCTCCCTTCCGCCCTCCTCCCTCTGGAAAGAAAGATGGCGGCCACATGGGGGCCTTGTGGACAGCAGATATGAGCCGGGGGTGTGGGGGCGACTAAAACCTCATGGGAAGAGGGGCGTTCTGGTCCGTCCTTCACGCCCTACCGAGGTCACCAGTTGCCCCCCGCGAGCGGCTCTCCAGCACGGCCACGGCCCCAGAAGCACAAGGACTTAATGCAGAACCCAGCAGCTTGGAGCAGAAAAGTGAACGGACTCTGCATTGATCCAGGCCATCAAGTCTGCCGGAGGGGAAAGGGTGTTGCCCCATTCGCCCTCTCCTCTTTGGAAAGAAAGATGGCGGCCACATGGGAGCCTTGTGGACAGCAGGTATGAGCCGGGAGTGTGGGGGGCGACTAAAACCTCATGGGAAGGGGGGCGTTTCGGTCCGCCCTTCACGCCCTACCGAGGCCACCGGTTGCCCCCCGCGAGCGGCTCTCCAGCACGGCCAGGACTCCAGAACACAGAAACCAATTTCTTAACTATCTGACTTTCAGTAGAAATACTTCCAGGGTCAATAGGTAAAAGAGCAGAAATCCAAAACCAACATTTAATTCTTGAACCCAGCCGTAGAAAGCAAATCACTTCACAATGCTTTGTCAGCATGTCTGATTTGGGGGTGGGGGGTAAACTCTAAATAATAGTGGTGAATCTTTTATTGAAACAATGAATGTAATCAAAGCAGATAGAGTGTTAACTAGAATTCATCTACCCCACAGGGACTGGGAGGGGTGGGGGGTGGGGTTTTATTGGGGTTCTTCATGGTAAAAAATAAGTATTGGTAAAGGGAAATGTGTTTGATATTTGCATGACTGAGACATAAACCTGAAAGCTTTGTAACCTTTCCCACAGTGATTCAATAAATAAATAAAAAAAAAAAAAAAAAAAAAAAAAAGAGAGGTGCGTGGCAATGCACTTACACCCCAGGTTCAGAAGCAAATCAGAAGGTCTTGAGGCCAAGTCCCCTTTCTTGGGTATCTCAGTGATAATTGCTGGGTGTGGGCAATGCTGTAGATAATCACTAGAATGGGATTCTAGTAACACATCCTGGACAGCAGGTCACGTCATCGCCTTCGAGAAAATGCAGGTGGAGCCAGGGATATAGCACAGTAGGTAGGTCACTGGCCTTGTACCCCCGAGCACCAGCAGGAGTGATCCCTGAGCACTGATAGATGTGTCCCCTCCCGCCCTGTAGAGACAGTACAGTGATGGGCAAGGCACTGGCTTTGCATGTGTCCAGGTGGAGTTTGAATCCCCGGAGCTGATTATGGTTCCTCGAGCACCACCAGGAGTGATTCCTGAGCACAGAACCAAGCATAAACTCTGAGCACTGCTGGGTGTGGTGCTGCCCCCCCCCACACACACACATACCATTGTAATTTGGGATCTTTGAGAAGGGATATGATTTATGATGACTGGGAATAAAAAAAAAGTGATAAATGTTCAGGAGCAGTTATAAAAAGGAGAAAAAGGTGAACTCCACGGGTTGGGAGATGGGTCAAGGATTGGGGGATTGGGGGGTGCATGCCAAGGGACCCAGGTTCCAGCCCTGAAGCTGCATGAGTTCTCCCAGTGTGGGTGTAGCCTAAACAGTGATCCTCACGCCATGGAGCACCGTGGGACGACTGTATAAGACTATGAGCCTCTAAGTTCCCACCCTCCAAAAGCCCAGTAAATCCAAGCATCCTTTATTTGCACATTAGTATATACGACAGGGTCAGGTGAATGAGACCAGTTGTAGTTAATATCACAAATGAGAGAACGAATCCGGAGTTCTGACATCCGTCGACGATCAAGGATCAGGGACGCTGTCTCATTTGCCAAGGTGTCGAAAATCAGATGGGCTGGTCACGTAATGAGATTTAAAGACGACCGTTGGACTAGAGCTGTTACTGATTGGATTCCACGGGATGTCAAGAGACCGCGTGGCCGCCCACCTACCAGATGGTCAGACTTCTTTGTCAAGGTCATGAACGATCGGTTTGAGGCCCTTCATGTTCCCGGAGCGAACAGATGCCATTGGGCTACACTAGCACGCGACAGGGACAAATGGAGACGTTACTGGCGCCCGCTCGAGCAAATCGACGACTAACGGGAAGTTAAGTGATTAAGTGATATACGACAGAGTTTCATAATGGCAAAGAAACAGTTAGATAGAAAAAAAATACTGATCAAAAATCAGAATAAATTTGTGGATAGGTAACTATCAGTGTGACTGTCTAAAGGGAAAACTGGCTTAGTAAAATGACCATTTATAGGAAAACAGGCGGGAAGCCAGGGCTTGCTAACAGTGCCGGGGTAGAAACTGAACAGGCTGATGTTTTCAGTGTCGTGTCCGCTACGTCTCCTGCATTCCACTAGCAAAACCACTTCATCTCACTGCCTGCTTTCTTTCAGCGACACGTATAATAATACTTGATACAGCAACAGAGGTGAGGGTTTGGAGAAAAAAACCTTAGCTATCTCAATTATTAGGGGAATGCAAACTTATTAATTCTAATTCATTCTTGAGTCTCAGCTCCTACACACAGCAAATATAGGAAACATAATTTCTTAAATTCTGTAAAAGTGAAATGAAATACAGGGATCAGCACAGAGTAATGCTTAATTAAAATATGGCTGATGGGGTGTTCTTCCCGGTGTCGTGTCCACTGTGCTAATTCTTTTTTTTTTTGGCTTTTTGGGTCACACCCGGTGATGCACAGCGGCTACTCCTGGCTCTGCGCTCAGGAATTACCCCTGGTGGTGCTCAGGGGACCATATGGGATGCTGGGAATCGAACCCGGATCGGCCGCGTGCAAGGCAAATGCCCTCCCCGCTGAGCTATCACTCCAGCCCCAACTGTGCTAATTCTTTGGGGAGACTAAATGGCACTTTGGAAAAAATTATATAAAATCCTGTTTCCTATAATTGTGACTAGATTATTAATGAGGAGTTGTAGAGAGAGAGGAAGCTGGGTATAGAGTCAAAACATGAATCAGGAAAAGGACAGAAACATATCAGCTATGGGCAAAAGGAAGTGTATTTTTCTTTATTTTTTTTTCTTTTTGGGTCACACCCAGCAATGCACAAGGGTTACCCCTGGCTTTTCATTCAGGAATTACTCCTGGCAGTGCTCGGGGGACCATATGGGATGCTGGGAATCAAAGCCGGGTTGGCCATGTGCAAGGCAAACTCCCTACCCGATGGACTATCACTCCAGCCCCAGAAACGTACTTTTCAAAAATAACAACACACCAGAGGATCATTTAGACTTCGATATAAAGGCTGGCCATGGAGGGAAAAGCAAGGTATGGGAGATCACAGGATTAAAATCTTAAAAAATTAAGGACACAATTCCAAAACAGACTCATTTCAGTTAACCCAAGGGTAGTCAAAATAAGAATCTCCTGTATCTGAGGCAGAACCAAGAAATAACTTAAGAATATGAATCGAATTAGCTCTCTTAGTTGCAAAGCAAGTGGCAAAACCGGAGAGTTTGGCAAGGAAGCACTACAGAACAAACCCCCCTGTCAACAGACTTAAGAGAGAAGAGTACCTCGACATCCTTTGTGGCCATTGAGTTGGAACCCTTCCGGACAGGTGCACTCATACGAGCCCTCGGTATTAATGCAGTCTCCTCCTTGGCAAACATTCTTATCTTCCAAGCATTCGTTGATATCTACAAATCAATTTTTAATATGTAAAAGACCGAACCGTACCTAAGCCAGTGAGACATTTTCCCATTTCTTTAGACACCAACATATATTTCACATCACTCGTACCCACGGTTTGTAATGGCTAAAAGCTTTTTAACGAGGAGACTTTTTAAACAGTGAAACGCTTGGAAAGGAGTTTAGCTTCAGTGTAGAAACTGGAGGTTTAACATCCAATTGGAACAGGCCCAAAAGAAATGAGCTGAATGCAACATTTAAGAAGCATCAAGACTGCTGGGCAGAGACACTGGTCCTTATCTTCTTCTCCCTTCCCTCCCTCCCAGAGCCTAAGATAAAGACAGCTTGATCCCTTACTCAGAAATCCCAGGCTTTGGTTTGCAGATAGGATTGGGTGTTTATCAGGAGACCAAGTTACCCGGCAGTTTACTGTTCCGTCTGGTGCCTCCGGCCTGCATGGTACCCTCCTCCCTTGCTAAAAATATGCTTTCCTCTGCTCGTTTTCCATAAACACATTTTTTTCACAGTTCAGCATTTAATTTTTTTATTTTATAAACTAGTCCACCATATTTGATTATATTTAATATTCAAACACCAATCCCACTACCGTTACACCTTCTCACCACCATATCTTGGGTGTTTCCATCCTGAACTCCAATCCCTGATCCAAAGCAGAACCCAAATAATATATTTCTTTTTGTTTTTTTTAGAAATACATATATATATATATATATATATATTAGACTTACAAGTTTTTGTGCTTGGGTTTCAGTTATACAATGATCGAGTACCCACCCCACCACCACTGCCCATTCCCCAACCCTACCAATTCCAGTATCCCTCCCACCCCCCCCCATCCCCCATCCCACCCTGCCTCTGTGGCAGGGTACTTCCTTTTGTTCTCTCCTTTTGGGTGCTGTGGTTTGCAGAAGAGGCATTGGGTGGCAATCGTGTTCGGTCTAGAGTCTACTTTCAGCATGCATCTCCCGTCCTGGGCGGATCTTCCCAGCACCCTTTATTTGGTGCTCCCTTCTCCATCTGAGCTGCCTTTACCCCTAGAGTGTGCGGCTGGCCTCGAAGCCATGGAGTGAACCTCCTGGTATTTATCACAGCTGTTCTTGGGTGTTAGTCTCTTATTTTGTTACTTTATGTTACCCAGATGAATGCAATCTTTCTATGTCTGTTCCTCTCTTTCTGGCTCATTTCGCTTAGCATGATATTTTCCATGTAGTACCACTTGTATGTAAATTTCATGACTTCATCTTTTCTAACTGCTACATAGTACTCCATTGTGTAGATGTACCAAAGTTTCTTTAACCAGTCATCTGTTCTCGGCCACTCAGGCTTTTTCCATATTCTAGCTATTGTAAATAGCGCTGCAATGAACAAACAAGTGCAGATGGACAGGCTGTCTCCTAAAATTGACATTTGATTGGTTTTCTCCCAAGTATTCCAAGGACACTTCCGTTACAAAAGATTGATGTGATTTTGGGAAGTGGGCTGAATTTTCCCTTAGTCCTAAATAGAATTTTTGACAGTGTGCATGTTACAAGTTTAAGGAGTTACAGTCTTTTTTAAAAAAAAATAATGAATCTGCTAATTAATGTTATATTCTCAGCATGCCTGGAATACAAACTTTTATTTTGCAATAGAAAAAAGAAAAAAAAATAATATATTTCCCTCTAAGGTTGGTTGCCTCCTACTTTGAATCCCATCAAAGGTGATGCGGGACTCTCGGAGTATGGGTCGGGTGTGTCCTATGAAGTGTGGTGCAGCCTCGTATGCTAAACACCCATCCTTATGCCTGCGAGACAGTATGCTATGTAGTGAGTCTGCCCTCCACTAACCTGCCAGTTCTGTTGCCCAGAAAGCTCTTTTCCCACCCATCACTGTGTTTCTGATTGATGAGCCCTTGAGTGGTAGCAAAACCAACCTTTGAGGTGACAGGATAAAATGAGATAAAGAAGAATGAGTCAAAATTCTACAACAAGCAATGACCTATTCGATTATGCTCTTGGAAGTGCCAAAGACCCAAAAAGCTCTTGAAGTCAGTGTTCTTACGGCTCTCTAAAGCCTCTATCACACATTATGCATTAAAGGAAAAACTTTTAAAGTACCTGGCATGATCCCTGCCTTCAAAGAGAAGTGTTTGCTCAAAGGACCACTGCGTATTAATTAAACACACACACACACACACACACACACACACACAAAGAATATAAGATATGAAGTTGCTTTGCAAATCCAAGACAATGCAATGTAACGATTGCTTGAAAATTAACTGTTTGTTGAAAGCACATTAGCTATGAATGTCAGGTGAACTGAGAGAGAGAGGGATCAGAAAAATCAAAGTTGACTTTCCTGGGCAGAAGAAATCCAGCAGATTCTACACAGCTGGGGAGAATGTGGAAGAGGGCGGAGTCCAGGGGCTCTTGGCAGAAACAGAGATCAGCGAGATCAAAAGGGCCCTGAAGTCACTTCCTCGGCAGCTGTCACAACAGGTCAGAAGAGGCTGCACTTCTGAACGAGCATATTCATAGCACATGTGTGGCTGAAAATGGTTTACGCAACCAATAATGAGTTTTGACTCGGAGCACATGAGCCCGCTAATGCCCTCGTCCCACAGAGGACCTGGCGGGTCTCTGCAGGAGGGCGGGGTGCGATCGCGCTTACTCCTGGATGCAGCCCATCAGTCCCAACTCACCAGGAGTCCCTCTTCAGCTCTCTGTGTAGAGTGTAAATTATGAGCATCGAAGAAAACTACGGAACAAAACCTTCTTTGCTTTCTTGGCATTGGCATATTGGGGCATTTCCTGCAACTAATTCCAATTGCTACTCAAGTGCATGAAAGGTCTCAGAAAGAAGTAAAAATGCACCCTGTTTCGCTGTCAGTAAAACGCAGTCAGGGATATTGAGACATAGGAAGGCACAGTAAGATACTAAGTCTTCCTATCTCCTCCATCCAGTTCGCATTATAGAGCCACCAAATTAAGTTTCCCTCATAGAATCCAAGGCATGGATAACTGGCTTCATGGGGGCATTCTGTCACATTCATGGGGAAAATAAAAGAGCTAAGTGCCTAAAAGTTTCCTTCATTTAAAACAACCAGTTGCGGGGCTGGAGAGAGAGAACAGCAGGTAAGGCACTTGCCTTTCATATGGCCAACCTAAGTTCGATCCCTGGCACCCCGTATGATCCACTAAGCCTTATTACGAGTGATCCCTGAGCGCAGAGTCAAGAGTAAGACCCCAAAAATGTACAATAAAGTAACAAGTTGTTTTTGAGTTTGCCCAGATTTAAAATGCCTCAAAGAATTCAGTCTCTAAAACGGAAAGCACAACTAAGGTAGTTATTTTGAAGTGGGTTCTCACTTAATATTTAGTTTTCTTCCAAGTTTACTGCATTATAATTTACTTACAGCAGAAGCGTCTAATTATGAGAGTCAGTGGAAGGAAGGATTTTCAGTGAATTGCCCCTGATTTCTGACAAATAGAGAGAGGTTCTCCTGATGACTGTTACACAGGGGTGTCTGTTGGGAGCCACTCTTGGACTCTCAGGTCACTCGTTTTAACAGGCTCACTCTGTCAGATGTCCATTCCATAGTGACCAACATAGACTTCCGCTTCCAATTATGTTTCAAATCTGTCTCATTAAAGTCTCCATTCCGATTACCAAACGGAATGGGTATTACAAAGGCCATGAAAAAGACCCTAAGAGCGGCACCAGGTACATCTGAGAGATATTAGTGTGGACAAGCCAGAGTCTGCTGCAAATTCTGAATGTGTTATTGGCAAACAAGTGTCACCTTTATCTCTCAGACGACCCTTGGTATATCAAGATTTCTAAAAGAATAATATTTTAAGTAAAAATTATATATATGTATATGTGTGTGTAAATAGCTGCTAAATCTCGACTCCCTGCTAATTTCAAGATTTAAAATTGTGATGATACCAAATGGAGATTAAATCCTTGACTCTTGTTTATGAATCTTTGTCAAGAAATATATCCTATACAGAAAAATTTCTTCATCTAGTCATCAAGCCCCAAAGAGATTCAGGCGTTTCCATCATCACAAAGGTTCCATTTTTTTCTTCTCTTAGCATTCTGAGATTCATCCAAATTGCTGTATATTCAGTAACTCTCTCCTCTGAGTGCTAAATAGTGCTACTGTACAACTGTACCACATGAAGAAAAAAAAAGTCATCTCCATTTGGTGAGCACTGGGGCATTTCGGCCATTATAAAGTCTCTAAAGAGGTCAATATTTGAATCTTGGAATAAATGTATTTTCTTAGGGGGCATAAGTCAGAGTCAGATAGCTTTTCAAAAATGGATATATTGGGGGCTGGAGCGATAGCACAGCGGGTAAGGCGTTTGCCTTGCACACAGCCAACATGGCCCACACAGGTTCGATTCCCAGCATCCCATATGGTCCCCCGAGCACCGCCAGGAGCAATTCCTGAGTGCATGAGCCAGGAGTAACCCCTGAGCATCGCCGGGCGTGACCCAAAAAGCAGAAAAAAATGGATATATTGGTTTATATTATCCCTGACGGGGTACGAGAGTTCCAATGACTCCACATTGACTTGACTTGCTCGGCTGCTACTCTAACAGCTGTTGAGTAGGAGATCTGCTGGTTTTAGATTTGTCTCTTTCTCTTTGTTGTGCAGGAAAGTGAGATAGTGAACTGAAAGGAGGGAAAAAAGCACCGTTGGCTATTAGCATGATGTAAATAATCACAACTCAAAAGGTAAAAAGGTAAAAGGCCCTCCCGTTGATCATCAATTTGCTCGAGCGGGCCCAGTAACGTCTCCATTGGAGACTTTGTTGTTACTGTGCCTGGCATATCGAATACTCTCGGTAGCTTGCCGGGCTCTCCGAGAGGGGCGGAGGAATCGAACTCGGGTCGGCCATGTTGGCCGCTTGTAAGGCGAACGCCCTACCGCTGTGCTATAGCACAGCAACTCAAAAAGTGATGAGAATCCCAAGACTAGGAATTTCAGCAACAGAGAAACCTAAAGGGCACCATTGTTTTTACAGCTTATAAGTAACTGGGTAGCAATTAAGACCCAGTTATGGTTGGGTGTAGTTAACTCGGTGAGATCTCTACTGTCAAAAGCAGGAGTTAGATAGTAGATGGGATATAAAGAGACGTGGTGGGGAGCGGAGAGAAAGTCCAGTGGTGAAGGTGCTTGCTTTGCAGGTGGCCAACCCAGGTTCAATTTCCGGTACCCAACCTGGCCCATCCCAAGTCCTGCCAGGAGTGAGCACTCATTGTAGGAGTAAGCCCTAAGCACTGCTGGTTGTGGTCCAAAGAAATAAAAAAGAGACACGGAATTGTCCAATTCCATTATGTAGGCTGTAGAAAGTCTGACTCCTTCGGCAGCTAGGTGACAATCACCCCATCATTCCCCTTCTGAGACTGGCTTCTCAAAGTCATCACTGATCTTAATCTGGTATAATCCCTTGGTCCATATAATTTTTAATTGACTCATCATGCGATACATAATCATAAAGTTATTCATGATGCCTCAGTCATACAATGTTCCAATACCCATACCTTTACCAGTGTACATTTCTGCCGCCCAGTTTTCCTGCACCCCCCAGCCTGCCTCTAAGGCAGACACTTTTGTTCTCTGTCTCTGTCTCTGTCTCTCTCTCTCTTGCATTATGGCTTGCAACACAGATACTGAACGGCCATCATGTATATCTCTTTTCCTTCTTTTAGACTCAGTTCTTGTTCAAAGTGATCATTTCCAATGGTCATTAGCACAATGGGCCTTTCTCTGTCCTTCCTAACTTCCCTCCCCTACAGCTGTGGCCAGCTTCCTACCATGGCTCACAGCTGGCTTAGAAGCTACTTTTGCTCATCACCCCTTCCTCCTGGACTTGCTTTCTTCTCTTAGATTTTGGACTTCCTGCCTCCCAGCCTGCCACTCTTCCTCCCCATGTCTCACAATCCTTCATTTCTAAATGTCCCGGGCTGAGACACCCCCTTTCATTTGAGGGTACATCCATTCCCTTCTTGATAACTGCTCCTGACCCAGACTTGCTGCTGAATTCCAAACACCTTGGTTCAATGGCCTTTCCAAATTCTCCATTGGATCCTATCATAGGCAAGAGAAACTAAAAGTGCCCAGCTGAACCCCTAACCTCTTCCGAAGCCTGCTCTTTGGGGTTCCTGCACCTTCTTCTCCCCCTCAAGAAACCAACACCATCATCTCAGTGAAGCTTCCTGTCTCCTGATTTAGTCTCCACCCTCTCCCAATCAGCATCACATTTACACTGCTACTCTTCACCTAAACATTCACAAACCATGGGTTTCATTGATTTATCTTATTATTAGTTTCCTCACAAACATCAGCCCCAAGGAGCAGGAAGTTTTGTCACTGAGGTTGGCTGCTGCATGTCCTGAGTCCAGAACTGAGTCTGCCACTCCCTTGGCACCCAGTGAATATTCTATTGAAGAAATGCACAAGTCACTCAATGATTCTGTCTTGGAAATCAGTGTCAGAAAGACATGCTGTGACTTCTTCCTCCACTCCTTTGATGTAGTTCACAAAGAAATGAGCAAGAGAGAAGTGCCCAGGAAGAGGGGGTGAGTCATAAATCATCTTCCCAGGCTTCAGCGGAAGGAACTGAAGGGAGGGAGGGGCAGGTGGGAAGCCAACCAATCAGAGAGAGATGGTGCCTGGAGGAAGCCATTCAGAGGGAAGACGACTGGGGTTCTCGACACACTGACACCAGCACATGCCCCCAATGGCTCACACTCCCATGTCATCAGACAGACTATCAGCAGAAATGGTTATAGTGACCAAAATTTCATATTCTGCTTTAGTTTGAGGTCAGTGGATGAATTCAGGATAACCAAGACCCCATCAACAGACCCCAGAGGCTTCTCACTCAGAGGAAGGGCAGAAAGAGCTGGGGGTGGGTGGGTACTTGGACGCTAACTCCAGAAAGCCAGTAGGCATGAGGAACGGGGCGGGGGGGGTGGGGGAATGGGGACACAGGCGTTGACCAGAGTTCCTAGGAGAGAACAGCTTCATAAGTATGGAAGCCAACAAGAAAGATGGCAGCCCCTGCCAGCTGAGAGCAGTCCGTGATCTGCCCCAACTCTTAGTCACAGCTAAATGTTACCGGAGATGGTGTGAGTTAGAAAGCTTAGTGCTAATTTAGTTTCAAAGAGAGGATTTAGTTGCATGGACTGCTGATCTATTTTTAACTCAGAATGCTGGCAAAATTGGCCTTGGCTTTAGGAGACAGGGGCCTGATTAAATTCTCCAAGAAGCATTCTAATGGAACCTAATATGTCTTAAAACAAACAGTGATGACTAAAGACCCAATTGGCTTTGAAAAAAAAAACATTAAAAGAAAAACAAAACAAAACAAAGCAAAAAAACAATGGTTGGGCCAGGGATTGTACAGTGGGTAGTACTTTTGCTTTGCATGTGGCCAACCCGGGTTTGATCCCCAGCACTCCACATGGTTTCCCCGAGTGCTCCTGGAGTTATTCCTGAGTTCAGAGCTAGGAGTCAGCCCTGGGCATTGCAGGGGTGGCCCCAAAACCAAAAATTATATATTTTTTAAGAGGTTCTGTTTTCCTTTTTTGGATTCTTTTTTTAGGTATAAAAAATACATAGAATGAGACTCATACCCAAGGACAATAGAAACAGGGGCCAGGTTTGGGCCATGGTTGGAAGCCTGCCCCAAGAACTGAGGGGAGAAGGCAGTTGGGATAGAGAAGGATACAAGAGTTTCCCACTTTCAACCATCACTGTGACAATCGTGGTTGAAAGGAATCACTCTAGATAGGAGGTGTGTTTTGAAAGTATCACAGCCCCTCAGTATCTGTACTGCAAACCATAATGCCCAAAAGTAGACAGAGAGAGAGAGAGAGAGAGAGAGAGAGAGAGAGAGAGAGAGAGAAGGTGCCTGCCATAGAGACAGATTGAGGGCAGAAAATAGATACTGGTGAAGGAATGGCTGTTAGAACATTGTATGACTGAAGCCCGACCATGAACAGCTTTATAACTATGCATCTCATGGTGATTCAATTTAAAAAATAAGTCTTGGGATTTCTGATAAGGAGACATATATAGACCCCAAAAGCCCAAATAATAGAACAAACACTCTCCTGAAGACCTAGTACCAAGATTTAACCAGGGGTCTGATTTCTCTCTGGACAGGGAATCGAGGCAGAGCTGACACTGACGGTCAGCAAAGGTTTTCAGTGTCTTGCTTCTAGTTACTTCTAGAACAAGTTGTCCCATAACTGCCTTTGGCAATCTGGAATGCCGCCACGTTGGCGCTTTATTTCTTACCTTTATGTTAGAGTTTCCCACATACAAGTTTTCTGACAATCAAATTTCAAGATTTTTATTTCTATTGCTGGTTTGGCCATTTGTTAGCTTTGCAGTAGGTATACTGACTAATTACATGGGTATTTTACAAAAAACAAAACTCTTGAAAGAACATGACCACCTTAGGATAAAGTTCTAGAAGATGCTTTGTTGATTTAATAATAATGTGTATGTGTAAGGCCTCTAAAACTCAATATTGTCCTCCAGAAGCTTCCGCGCCAAGGGTTTGTAGCTGATACGGCTAACAAGACCCAGAGCTGTACATGAGGGAGATCTTTCAGAAACATATTCTGCAAAAATACCTCAAAACTGAATTAAAGTTTGGCTCTTAAAAACATCACTGTGATATGGAATATCTACTTGTATTTACTTATTTGGAATAGTTGGAAGCTTCCCCTGAGTAAATAAGAGTTCAGAACTCTAGACCCGGGCTGGAAAAGTTCATCTGATTCCTCACTCCTATGCTAGCAAAATTCTTTGAAAAAGCAGCCTGCAGCAGAGCAAAGACCAACACACACACACACACACACACACACACACACACACACACACACACACAGACACTTCTTTGCATGACTTGCATGACCATGGGGACAATACTTTGCAGGTTCCTCACGTCCACCATAGCCAACAGATTGAGCTGGAGGCCAGAGGCCGGGCGGAGGGGCGAGCCTCCCTCTGCCTGGTATTGCCCCCCTGAAATGGAAGTCACTTCTCACCTTCACAGCGGTCACCCAGGCCGGAGGCTCTGTAGCCGTGGTTGCAGACACAGCGGAAGGAGCCTTCTGTGTTCCTGCACTGCCCGTTGCTGCAGAGATGGTGGTGTTGGCATTCGTCGATGTCTGGAAGCAACAGAGCAACAAGAGGGTAGCCGTGATCCCAGCTTTGTCTGACGGTTCACGCCAAGGAGGTACAAAACCAATGAGGTTCCTGCTTCCTTAGTATCCATGATGTGAACCAAACTGACCTTCAGTATAAAGTGGGCAACCTCCAGTGGGGAAATCCAGAGGAGCTCAAGGATCGGTGACTTCATTCCATGTTCCCTGGGGGGTGGCCAACACCTGCCCTCACATGTAGAATTGACTCTACTAAGCCTCTTGGATTTCTTTGGGTGACTCAACTGGAACCAGGAATGTCAGGGACACAGGCCTGTATACATCTAGAGCAGGCTTTCAGCAAACTACTGTCCCCATAGCATAGCCACTGACTACAAATAAAGTTTTATTTGAATAGAGCACTGCTTTATTCTTTGGCCCTTTACGGGAAAATATTGCTGGTCAACTGCTGATCAAAACTGTCCTGGCCTGCACACTGATATTTCTTTTTTACAGATCTATCCTTTGGTCCCAGATAACCGGGTTTCCATTCTATTGCCTGCAATAACAAAGATGTTCTGACCATACCAATGCACCCTTCTCTCCTGTCAGCCAATTTGATGCTGCTGAGTTTAACAGAGTTTAACAGAACCCCTCAGGCCCGCTTCCTCGCTGGGAGAGGAGGCATATCATGGGTTGCTTGCCTGACATTACTTGATCTTGGTTGCTACATCTTAAGTTCCCTACAGGTGAGGACTGTGTCTGCCATCTCCTTGCTTGCTATCTGGATGCCCTGGCATTTTCTGATCAGTATTTTCCCATCGCTTTCACGTTGCTGGTTGATTTCACTCTGAGCCTAACATGAAACACTGATCCACTCTGACAGTATTATTCTGTGGGAGCTAACACATGCCTGTTTCCACGGGGATCTGGAACCACCGCCCTCCCCACGCCACAGCACCACGTTCATTATCAGGCATCTGGTACCTTAAATCCGATCGTCCCTATTAATAACCTGCTGGGTGGGTCTGCATGCATCACACTTGTTGCTGTCTGCGAGAGCGTACGGCAATGCATTCTTAGAAGAAGGGACACGATGACATTCTATGACATGTAGACCTCCATCGGGAATTATACTATTGAGTTTTCTATGAACAAGACACTCAATGAATGCTCAGCTAAGTGGCAAGTATGAAGTAATAAAGTATGAGAGATTTTGTTGAATTTAGAAGAAATGGCACACTCGTGTGTGTGTGTGTGTGTGTGTGTGTGTATTCATGTGTGTTCTCACTTTCCTCCCTTTGAGGTTCAGTATTATGATGACTTTCCATGTTCTAGAAAGAGGTACGTGGGGAAGGATAGGGTAATCCTGGTGGATTCCCCTGGCTCTCATACTCCATCTTCAGGAGACCTTTTGCTCAGTCAATATTCAGGGCAGACACACAGACATGGATATGGTTTGTGTCTTTACAGTAAGACGCAAACACAGGTTCTCTTTCAAAATGAGAGACTTTAAAGCAGTGTCTCCTTTATAGATGGAGACCCTGTGCTTATCACAGCAGAACCTTAATACCTCCAAGTTCAAAAAACATCTACTGGGTCAGAGCAATATACAGTGAGTGGCGAGGGCATCTGCCCTGCACGTGGCCAGCCCAGGTTCGATCCCCAGCATCCCATATGGTCCCCTGAGCACTGTCCGAAGTGACTCAGAGTGCAAGGTCAGGAGAATCTCTGAGCATTGCTGGGTATCACCCCCAGACCAAAAACCAAACAACCTCTACCTCCTTAATGGCACAGAAAGGCTTTTCATGTGAAGTTCAATAAAATTTCTTAAATCTCAGGCCAACCCAGCGAGTTTTAAAATCCTCCCCATCACCTCTATGAACAGGACAGACTTTGAAAACTTTCTCTCTCAGGAGAAAGGGGACAAGATCTCAATCGAATCCAACTGGAAAGTTTTCTTCAGTGAGATTGCTTTTAAAGGCAATTAAAAAAAGAAGGGTAAGTCCACACAAAATTCAAGATCATTTCAGGTCACTCCATGATGAAACAGCCAATGGATCTTCTAATAGCTGAAGTTCTGGTGTGTGAAAATTTCAAATGAAGTCTAATGGAATGCATTTTATGTAGTAAGGAATGATAGAACAATCGTTTCTCTTCCTATATACTGATGCCTAGTCACTATCATGAGTGTCCTGTTGGAAAGTCGACCTTTCTCCATCCAGCTGTGCTACTTCCTGTGTAGGTTTCCACCCTTGCTTTCTGGGCCCACAGAGCTATCACCCCGGTCATTTCCAGGCAGGCGTCCTGAGCTGACCCTGCAGTTCATGCCCCACAGTCTTACCTTCACACTGGTCTTTTGCTGCTGACAGCTGGTACCCCTGGCTACAAGTGCACTGGAAGGAGCCCTCGGTGTTTCTGCACTGCCCGTGCAGGCAGAGAGTCCCTTGCTGGCACTCATCAATATCTGTTAAGACCAACAATCACAATGGCTTGAGTTGTCTCATACCCAGAACCAGACCCTCCGCTTGACTCAACATGGAGACCTGTGATCTCCAGTCACGGTCACAAACGTCACCTTCTAAGCACAGAGTGTTGGTTTTGAAACAGAGAAAGGGGCCAACAGGAAGATGCTGTGTTCCTTGCGAGATTTCCTGGGGCTCCTGGAAGTCCCAAGAACACCCCCCCAAAAAAAAACATACAAAGTAATGAGACTGTCTAGAACATCTGTCTAGAACATCAGCCTCCCAGTGTTCTTCATCTAGATCTCAGAGTGCCAAAGTGTAGGACAGGCAAAATCCTGAGGACAGACTTTGGTAAGGAAGAGATATCATGACACACCATCATGTCCTTTGCCATGTCTCTTTCTCTCTCTCTTATGCTTCGAACAGGAACGCAATGTGAGGCATCTGTTTTCATTTTCCGGCATCTCTTCTGTGGTGGTCTTTTGGGCCACATCCAGGAGTGCTCAGAGATTACCCCAGCTCTGTGCTGGGGAATCACTCCTAGTGGGGTACTGGGGACCCTGTGGAGTGCTGGGGATCTAACCCGAGACAGTTGTGTTCCAGGCAAATGAGCTCCATGCTGTACTACTGTGGTGAACCCTCGTTTTTAGTTTTTAACGGTTACTTTTAGCCCTAAGGTTTACAAAGCTGTTCATGTAGGGTTTCGTGCATGAAACACTCTTGCGCACCGTCTCCACTCCACGAGTGTGTCAGCTTCCCACCAGTGACCCAGCAATGCCTCTCCTGTGCCAAGTTTCTACTAAGACCAGTGGAAATTGGTCTTCCGCACTGAAGACCGGTATTTCAATCGAACCCTGCAGAAAAGTCTCTTCCATGGGACGGCTTTTAAAGTAGAAGCTGGTCTCAGTAGTATAGGAAATGCTTACACACGTGGACCTAAAATCTGGCAAATGGAATCCTGTTCAGGAGAGCCCCCCCATACTAGGGGAACCCTCCTATCCTTCCCGCTCCCCCCTTTTTATCCTCTCAAATACAATCGCTTTTGCAAATGGGGGTGGGGAAGGGATCTGACAAATGAGAGACACAAACACATTTACAAGGGAAGAAACAGAAATGCTGAAGAAAATGTATGAAACAAATGTTTAATAGTTGGAAGAGCATCGTGAATTGTTAAAAGAAAGGAACGCAGAAATAATAAATCTTTAAAAAATTAAGGCACATATTCTACTAATTAGAAATTAGTAATCTATCTAAACAGCATTTAAAACCTCTTACCCCAAAACACCATTTTTAAAAAAATAAACAATTCGAAAATCTCAAAAAGATCACTTTCCCAAAGGCTCGGCACAGAACTCTTTTTACATAATAATGAGATTTGGTGGGGGTGGGGGGTGTGGAAGTGAATTCCACATCTGATGAACGGCAAGAAAATGGTGATACAGGGATATATCTGAATATTACACAGCCCTGAAGGATAATATTTGAAAAGGTTCATTAATAAAATGTCTAATATTTCTACTATAAAGCCACAAAAGCCACAAAAATGCCTACTGACTATGCTCTATAAAATATTCATGAAATATTTTCAAGAGCATCTCTTTTGTTTTACTCTTTTGGGCCATATCCAGGAGTGCTCAGGGATTACCCCAGCTAATCAAACAAGATTATGAGCAAGCATTGCTTTTAACCTTTCCATATTTGTTAGTCTGAGGTTTGACTGAAACGCAATTTGCACACCATAGAGGTTATCTATCCAAGTATATACTTTAAAAGTTTGTGGGGCTGGGAAAGAACTCAAATAGTTTGCCAGGGGCACCTCCAGCACCTATCATGGTCCCCCATGGCCCCTTCAAAACCTAACCAACCAACCCACCCAGAGCTTTAGAGGTCTTTAGTATATCCAGGGTCATGTAACAACATGCATTACTTTTTTACCCAGAAACATTTGAAAATAAATGCCTCTGTGGTTTAGAGCTCCTCTGAAAATATGCTGCTTCTCTCCACGGAGCAACAGTCTGCAACTGCAGTGCCTCCGCACTTTCAAAGACTCAGCCAAACCTCACCCAGGGGCATAGGCCGAGAGGATGACCAGTGTGTGTGTGTGTGTATGGGGGGGCTCATCCTGGACCATGCGGGGGCCGCCTCACCTTTACAGTGCTTGCGGTCAGGCGTCGGGGAGTAGCCCCGGTGGCAGGAACACATGTAGGAGCCGTCCAGGTTGGTGCACGTCCCGTTGCGGCAGACTCTGGGATCCAGGCACTCATCCACATCTGGCAGGGCGGGGCACAGCGCCAAGCCCAGGAGAAGGGAAAACAAAGAGGAGGAGGGAAGACGTGAGCACGGTGGCATTTGGCGAAAGATCAAACCAGCAGACCCTTAAAAGGAGACGTCGGTCCTTTACGCTCAACTTTCCAGCGTGCAGGGGAGGAACAGCAGTGCAGCGTGTGAGCATGGGACGGACAGTGTCCGCCTCCGTTTGCCGAGTGTGCAAAGCCACGCTCGAGGGAAACAAACACGCTCCGTGTGGAACGGTGGCGGCGGCTGAGTGGGGGAGCCACGTCCCCATCAAAACAAAACAGTCCCGGGGCTGGAGCCATAATAGTACGGCGAGGAGGGCGTCTGCCTTGCTCACGGCTGACCTGGGTTCAAGTCCCAGCATCCCATATGCTTCCCCCAAGTACCACCAGGAGTAATTCCTGAGTGTAGAGCCAGGAGTAACCCTTGAGCGTCGCTAGGTATGATCAAAAAAGAAAGAAAAAAAAAGGAAGAGAAAACCCAAAAATTCAGTCCCAAGAACCCAACATGTACCAGGGCTGGGGAGCTGGCACAGGGACTAGTGGTGGATGCCCAAGTACACCCCTGGCACTGGATTGTCCCTCAAGCACCACAGGGGCATCCCTGCCAGCTCCCAAGCGCCACCGGGTTGGTCCTGCTGGTCCTGGTCACACGGACGTCTCAGTAGTCATATCCTTGAGCCCTGGTAAGGAACCCCCTGGTCGACTGGCTGAGAGCTATTGGGAATGGCCCGTTTGGGGTACCCCCACCAACAATAGTAGCACGGTAGCACAGTGCTCTGTTTTTCATCGATTTGCTCAAGGGGGCCCCAGTAACGTCTCCATCGTGAGTCTCATTGTTACTATGTTTGGCATATCAAATATGTCACAAGTAGCTTGCCAGGCTTTGCCATGCAGGCAAGATACTCTTGGTAGCTTGCCAGGCTCTCCGAGAGGGGCGGAGGAATGGAGGAATTGAACCCAGCTCGTCCAGGCCGGCTGTGTGCAAGGCAAACGCCCTACCACTGTGCTATCGCTCCAGTCCACCACCAACAGCGAGACAAGGAATCATGGAGGTCTGCAGAGTAGGAACTGGTGAGTTCCACATGACATGTGGGTTCACTGAAACAAACGCTACAACTCGGAAACTAGAGAAACCCTGGAGAAAGTTACAACAGAAAGGCAGAAGCACTCAATACTTGAAGGCAGCCCTGCTTCCGTGTTCGAAAAGCCAACTGAGGCTTGCAACATCGCCTGTTGGGCAGTTTGAAGATAAGCTGCGGGCTGAAGAGTCCAATCAGATAGGAATCCGTTGTTGCTAAGCACTGGATGCCCAGGTCTGGAACCTGGAGCTGCAGCATGTCCAGAGTCAGGGGTGTGTGAGTGTGTGTGTGTGTGTGCGTGTGTGTGTGTGTGTGTGTGTATGCGCACACTGGCACAGGGGTTAGGGGAACAGCCAGCAACAGGCATGGTGGCCTCCACACTCTCCTCACTCTCACAGAACCACTCAGCGGAGTGAACCAAGCCAACTCCGCGGCAACCACACAGCGTGTCCAGTGCCGACGCCGCACCCACGCTCCCGTTGGTGGGTCCCATGTTCCCCAGTAGCTGAAAGCAGACGGGCCAATAGAAGCAGCCGGACGCACGGCAGAGGAGATGGTGGGACAGACCGAGCGTTGCCCTCCCCGTGGAATTCTGGATGGCACCAAGGAAATGGGAGGTGACCTAGAGGGTCTGCTTCAGCTGAACAAGGTACGGACTGACTTCTCTCCTCAGCGGTCTGCACCCGGGGCCCTGATCTACAGGGAGGTAACAGCCAAATCCATCCCCAAGACAAACGTTTTCCTTCAAGCGATACAGAGGCGTCGGCAGTTTATCATTCAGGAGATACTTAGACTTTGCTTTTGCCAGGTGGTCGCGGTGGTTAATGAAGCAGCAGTCGGGTAGGATAAATGAAGAGCAGAGGAGACCTCAGACTGCCAAGCCACGGGTCTGCCTTGAACTATCTAGACAGCCCGAAATGTTTATTCTTCCCTGACTGCAGCTACAGACGCAAGGAACCAGCCCCCCTTCATGTCCGCCAAGGAGTTGTAGATGGAAAATTCTGAGCTGAGTGAGCGCCTGGCCTTCTGAGAGCCTGGACCCTTCAGAACACGACTGTCAGTAAAAAGTCACTGAGGGCTCTGCACAGAAGCGACGTGTCTAGGGCTTACTGGGGAGAAATGCAGAGAGACCAGCTCAGTGCTGTATCCTCAGCTCGGGTCACTCTGCACTGTAGATGCTACTTACAACCCACTGGGTCAGCAGACAGCTGAATGTGACCTCCTATAGGCGCCTGGAGTCTTCAGGATCCAAGGGGGCCTCAACACCTCCACCCGCACCACACACACTGCATTCTTGGTTTTTATAAATAAAATCCTGTTGTTTATCAATTGCTTCGAGCAGGCACCAGTAATGTCTCCTTCATCCTAGCCCTGAGATTTTAAAGTGCCATATTCAAGGCTCTTTCAGGGTTAGGAGAATGAGACCCATGATTGTTACTGGTATTTGGCATATTGGGTACGCCACGGGGAGTTTGCCAGACTCTGCCGTGTGGGCAGGTTACATTCAGTAGCCTGCCAGGTTGTCCAAAGTAGGAATGAGATAATAAGATGTTGTGCAGCCACAAATGCAGCCGCGTGCTTCCAGGAGCTGAGTTTTGTAGTCTCTGGGTCTTGGCCATTAATGGGATTACATGGTGCCAGGGAGTCAGTTGGTGGATGTGACCCCTGCTTACTGGAAGATGGAGGATCTGGGTGGAGGATGCTCAGCCCCGATCCGAGCAGGCTTGGAGATCTCAGCCCCGCGACCCGCATGCCTTTGTTCCTCTGCCGGTACCTTCATGCGTGCGGAGAGTGGTCTCAGCATGGTGGTGGCTGGTTCTGGAGGTCTTTGGCTGCCGGAGCTCTGCTCGGGGCAGGGAGGGAAACTCAACCCACCCCCTCCAAGGGGCCCCGGCGAGGACAGCCATGCGTGAGGGCAGGAGACTCCATTTAGACACCATGGTTTACGAAGTTGTTCATAATAAAGTTGTGATGGGCTTTTGATGGTCCAGCACCAATCCCACCATGAGTGACCGTCCCTCCACTACTTCCTTGTTTTCCCCAACATCCTCCTCTTCACTATATCCTATAACATATAACATTACTGCTCCAATACCCGGATTGGAAACGTGGGTGTCTCCCTCTCTAGATTGTTTACCCTCTTTCCCTGACTACAAATTATTACCAAGTCCTCCGCATCTCTCTTCCAAATCATTCTCAACACATCACTTTATTTCATGTCTAATACCACCAGTTGTAGTTACTGGTTTTGGCATATCGAATACACCATTCTCTCTTATTTCGCTCCACTTCAAGTCCGGCCCTCTCTAACCTACTTCCAGCCTGCGGGCAGAGGAATCTGTCAGAAACACAAAAGTTGATCAGGGTGTTATTCCTCTAATTAAAAAAATTTCTGACACAGATGTGCTGGACCCTGGTAAGGGTATCAGAAATCATGGCACCCACAGTCCTTATTAACACCTTCAGGCTTCAATTCCATAGAAAACAGGGAAGTCTCTCCACAAAGACCACCCCTAGCTCCTTACCTCTGTGGCAGAATGTGCAATAACCATCTCTGGCTTTACGTCTGGGAGATTTTATCTTACTCTCAAGAGGGTAGGTCTCTTGAGCTGGAGTGATAGTCTAGTGGGTAGGGCCCTTGCCTTGCATGTGGTCAATCTGAGTTTGATCCCCTGTACCCCACAGGGACCCCTGAGCACAACCAGGAGTGGTTCCTGAGTGCAGAGCTAGGAGTAACCCCTAAGTATTGCCAGGGGTGTCCCCCAAAAAATAGAGAGAAAGAGAGAGAGAGACAGAGAACAGGTCTCATAAACATATCCTTACAACAGATGCATATATGATTCAAAGGCAACATTTATCCAGAACAAAGCTGGGAAAACAGTCTGGAGACTCCCAGAGATAAATTTGCTACTGGGTTTCTTAATGATCTGGCACTTGCCCTTCTGTAAATTAAATGGGTCACAGACAGGAAGTACTCAGAGGGTTACGAGGCTGGTGCCATGGGGGTGAGCAGGCCAAAGGTTCATTGTGAGCCCATACCGCTGTTACTGCCCCAGCCTAAATGGGTCCTTCTTAGGACACTTGCACAGATGCCCAGTTGGAAACTTCTCGGCTCCCGCAGGCTTCTCTGGGACACTTCCCCGAGCCCAGAAATAGCAGCATAGGCTGGCATGCATGACCTAGGCGAACCCCAGCTCCAAGCGGCAAATTCCTTTGCGAAAAGTTTCACCTCATCATCGGAAGCCTGAGGTCTGCGAGTTCTCTCTCGGTCAAGATCAACACGAAGCTCCAAGCTCATTGGTTCCCAAACTCTGCACTTTGCTCCTTGAGGGGAAGCAAGGACGAGGAGCTGCTCTGGCAGGCATCCCCGGTTTTCACAGAGATCACTCCCAGCTGGCCCACCTGCACACTCTGCTCCCTGTGGATGGAAGGCAGGTGCAGACGCCTTCTGGACTGTGCCCTCCTCCAGCCGCCCTGGAAGGGGCCGGTGGTATCTGGTGGCCAACACATGGCCACAGAGTCTCAGAGCTGTGCTCTTCCCTCCCATCCCTCGACCAGCCACCAGGGGTTGGTGGAAATTGGTTCTGGAGCAACAGTTTGCTTGCAGAACTTCCTGTTCTTCTAAGGAGAAGAAACTGTCACCATTAAGTCCTTTTCCGAGCCCATGATCTTGTAAAGATATTATTAATATATTATTTTATGATTAATGATACTACCACGGTAGAGCCTGGCAAGCTACCTGTGGCACATCTGATATGCCAAAAACAGTAACAATAACAGGTCTCATTCCCCTGACCCTGAGAGAGCCTCCAATAGGGTAGGGTTGGGAAGGACGAGTAAGGAGAGGCTGCTAAAATCTCAGGGTGTGACGAACGGAGACGTTACTGGTGCCCA